GGTGGGTCTTATTGGTCCTATAAATTGCCATATAATTTTTAATTTTAGAGAAATGTAAACATATCACCCAGCTGACTGGCTAATGACTACTGAACATTCCATTTCTATTTTCATTCATATGTGCCCCCCCCCCACAAAAAAAACTGCGACATATTCACAAGGAAGCAGAAGATGAAAACATGGCTTTGCTTACTTAGTTGGGGGGGGTTACACTTGGGCAAATTTCTGCCTTGTTGGTCTAATAGATTGGCTTTTACCTTCTATCTTTCCTCCTTCCTCTCTGAACATCATGAAGTGTGGCTGGCAACCAAACAGGAAGCATTAGAAATACCTGAGCAGGACTGACCACCTCAATTCCAACTGTGGCTGTTAATCCAAAATAAGTGATGTCTGGTTTGTTGTCACTTAACCTCAAAAGATAAAATTTATTCAATTTTTTTTTTTTTACTTTTGGTCGAGTAGATGCTACTTAGAAGATCCCACTTCAAAGACCTGATCTGTTGGCCATAAAACCTGAAATACTTGAGATTGTGATAAAATTACACACCTTTCCTCTAAATGATAACAGAAAAATTAAAGTATTTACATTAGTCGGACTATTGTCCTCATCTTTGTCGCCATATTTATCACAACGTTTCAGCCGTTGTACGCTCTGGCCTTCTTCAGGTGGTTGGAATTTCGAACTGAACCCTTTATTTCGATCATTGGGGTAGACTGTTCTAGTTCCATGTGCCATGTTTGATGGATGTCAGTTATCTCCTGTTAATTCCCGTCTCCACTGCCTTAACCGGGTATTGAACTCGCACTCTTATGGTCCTGTCACTGGATCTAACCAACGCCTTTATCCACTGTGCCATGTGTCCTCTACATAAAACAAACTTTCTCAACATGTACAATACATCTCTACTCCAAATATGACATGGTTAAGTTCATTACTTTCTGGAATTTGTAAGTTCTGCAATGTCTTCGCCAATATCACTTTAGTTCTATTCTGATGTTATCTTTTCAATTTAAACGTTTCTCTTCATACATTTTAATTTGTTCAGCTGACCTTTCTTTTGGCTTCTGTCGATACTGCCCCACCTACAAGCAACATTCTTAACAAGGAGATTCAGTAATATGGGAAAACGAATAAAGAAATTGTCTTTTGGAAAAAGCCATACAAAGTTTTACTAGGATTAGCTTTCACTGGTACAACCAATTAAGCAAATTCAGATCAAGACTTTCTCCTGCTAATTTTCCCTCTGAAAGTTCTCCACTGCCTTAACCAGGTATTGAACTCACCTTCTTTGGGTCTGTCACTGGAGGCAGTGGAGAACTTTCAGAGGGAAAATTAGCAGGAGATAACTGATAACTGACATCCATCAAACATGGCACGTGGAACTAGAACAGTCTACCCCAGTGATCGAAATAAAGGGTTCAGTTTGAAATTCCAACTACCTGAAGAAGGCCGGAGCATACAACGGCCAAAACGTTGTGATAAATATGGCAACAAAGATGAGGACAATAGTCCAACTAATGTAAATACTGTACATAATACCTCATCTCAGAAATATAGACAGACTCAGAAAAATTAAACTTCTATTAGAAAGATGCAAAATTAAAAATCTTCAAATTCCTCAAGGATATAGCAATAACGTCATATATTATTATTGCTAGATCCTTGAGGAATTTCAAGATTTTTAATTCTGCATCTTTTTAATAGAAGTTTACTTCTTCTGTTTATAAGCATGGGACTGTTCCACAAAGTGTCAGTTTTTTGTAAAATGCTGTCTGAGTAGATCTTCCTCCTTACAAATGAAATACAGAAAGAATGTAGGTGATTCAACTCTGTGAATATAGCAAGGCAAGTCATAGTGTAAAGGACAGAACTAAAGAATGGAGTGGTGGTGGTATTACTAAGGAACAATAAAAAATCATTACATACTAATGATTTGGTAATATAGTGATGTTTTGTTCTGTGTTGTCTCTGGGTCACTATGCTACTACAATAAAATGGTATCAATGAAAAGGACCATTTCTTTTTCTTATTCATTTTATTAGGAGAGAGTGGTGGCAGCTTGGATTTTAAGAGGCAGGTAGCATTTCTTTTCTTATACTTCTCACCTGTGAACTTCCTTCCATTTACTTGCTTCCCCAATAACTACAATCTCCAAAAATTTAGATGTAACATCAATCACTGTTTTCTGTCTTCTTGAATCTTGTTCATCTATTGTCCTTTCCTCTATCCTTCATATTCTCAGACTTCTTTTCATTTTTACTCCTTGTAACTCCCACCTTGCTTGCAGGTGAAAGGATTCAAAAAAAGAAAAAATTAGCAAATCTCCCACTCTCATGAAAACAGGTCATTATTAGTTACAGTCAAGGTGAAACTCTTGATTGTATTTGGGCAAAAATTATGAACCGATTTGGCAAAGTAAGTGGCAGAAATAAAACTAGTACGGCATTCAAATAAGTCAAATGAATCTGGAAGCTGAAGAACTGTTTATAAATCAAGGTC